CCCCTTCGAATCTAGTTTAAAGCCCTAATATCAAACCCAACGACCTCAGAAGAAAAAGCATTAGACAATTAAAAAATTGCTATGCGTTCCTATCCTATTTGTGGTATCAATATGAGTCAGGGTGTTAAACTTACATCGTTCAGGAAACTTTCCAGATGACAGGTTTCAAACTTTAGGCTTGCAAAAGTCATCGGATCAGTCATGTTACATAGCTGCTGCATTTGCTCAAAGTTATCTTGGGTTACATTACCTTCTGGCAAATCAAAGGCATTCATCAGAGTAAGAATATTTCTGAAAAAGTGAAACACAGGTCATTTGAAATTATTTATTTGTAAGCTTCCTCAGGATTCATTTTCATCATCAAGCAAGTTATTAAGAGCATGATGTCTTTTATGAAGATACAAAAGAAGCAGTGTTTCTGTTGCTCAAGATCAGATTTTGAAATTGGGAAGTCCAGCAGTTTTGTGCATGTGAAATTCTTTCTTTCCTCTTCCAAGGTGATTCCGATACTGTCTTTCATGGCTCAGATGGCAGCTAAATGGATGGGCACTCAAGGGACTTGTGCAGAAGTTAGACACCCATCTTTGCACTGCAGACTGGGCATGAGTTCCCAGACTGAGCAGGTGTTGTGGAGGAGCTTGACTGGAACCTGCAGTGTTTGGCAGCCCCAGAAAGAAGAGGGTCTGAATTAAGCTGGTGAAAGGATGTACCTCTGATGAGTCCTGAGCAGTTCAGCTCTTCAGGAGGTAACCGAACTACAGAGCTGACACAGGGACAAGGCTACATTACATCCATGCCATACGTCAGCTCAGCAGGCATCAATTATTGTGATTTTTTTTTTTTTTTTCCCAGTTTCTAGACAATTTTCCGTTGGCTGGAAGAGCTTCATCTAATGACTTGAGATGGGAAGAATTTCATTAATTAACTTGGGTAGTCTCCCAGTATACAGAGTCACCAGCAGCACCTGAAGTGCCTACACTGTGATCCAGCTGCAGACAGGCCTCTTCAGGACTGTCAGAACTGCCTGGTCATGGGGAGCTCTCTGAAAATGGGACTGTGCTTTCAGTGGCTCATTGCACAACTGCACAGTTTGGCCACTATGTCAGGAGGTCTGTGGGGATTTGACATCAGGCATAGTAGAAATAGCAGCAGCATAGTATCCTTTGTTTGTTAGTTTTTGAATTTTTTCCAGTTTTTCACAGAACCAGTTTTATTGAAACTTGCCTTATCCATTTAAATAGATACATTCCTTCAGAATGTTTTATATGCATTGTTACAATTGATTAATTTTTCACATTTGCCTCTAAAACTATAGACATTCTAGCATGTTTTAGTGAAATAATGTATCAATAACTGAATCTACCTTTATGTAAATAGAAATTGTTATGTAACCTGCAGTTATATTTGAAATAACCATTTCAAAAACCACAATAAAATATGCAAGATCCTCTTTTTCCCTTGTATCTGTAAATCAACTAATATGGGAATAATATAAAATATGGATGCTTACACAACATCTGTCTAAGAAATAAGGTTGCTCAAATAATTATCACTCCCTATGGGGCTGATACCACATGATTTAAATTTTTTGAAGTAATGAGTGGTCTGGTAGAATGTGCGTTAGGTGCTGCAATTGCTCAGAGCTAATAAATCCATTATCACCAGGCTAGCAGAGCTGTCTTAGCCAAACAAACACCTCTGTATTCTGGGTTGTTTTTTTTTTCTTCATAACTTACTTGTCAAAACAGTCATCATATCTTTCTGTGGCTCTGAATCCAATGATGGAGTATATGACAGTTGCTGCATAGATGGATGTGAAACCATTGATCACTGAGATAATCAGGGCATCTTTCTCACAGTTATTGCTGCAATTCAAAAAGATTAAAAAAGTGAATTTTAAACACATTTCCAAAGTTCTAAGTCGTTCCCATGTCTGGCTCATGGCAAGTAACACATGAAGGGCAAAAAGTGCATCTCCTTTTCAAGCCTGTCATGCACGTGTGCAGACACACCTTGGCGTAAGCTGTTTCTTAGCTGCTGGGGTGTTCTGCTGCCAAGTGAATGGTTTGGGGTTGAGTCTGAGCATTCAGAAGGGGGAACTCTCCAAAAGTTTCCATAGCACTTTGCTACAGTGAAGTTGCAGCAGCCAAGAACCCTGGAGAAAAGTTTTGTTCAATTGTGGAGAGAAGATGGTTCAAAATGTCCTCAAGTTTTGGAAATAGAGTGGAATGGTACACTGATAAGGTCGGACAGACAAGCTATTACATTGTGAAAACTGAACGGCTTTCTAAAGACTTCTCTGCTGTGGGCACTTGCCAGCATATCCGTGCTAAGATGAAAAAAAATGCAGGGCCAGGAGGAGACTGTCATCTGAGAGACAAGATAAAGAATCAATACTAAATTAGTTAATGGTTTTATGAGAAGGTTGTAAAGCTCTAGATATTATGTTTACCTTGGGCAAGAGAGCACTATCAAGATTAACTTGATGTTGTCATATTTAATTTTATGATCACCTTCAAGAGAGGAAAGCCAAGCCTGTCCAGCCAAGACATGTCACATTGTGGTCTTTCCTCATTTATGGTATTGCAAACACGTCACTAGTGGGCAGAAAGTATTGAACTGAAATTCTTTGCTGTGCTCTCATGTAATTTTTTTTCACTGTAGCATGAGGTTCTAAATGATAGACTTGATAAAAAAATTTCTTTCCTTCAGAGAAAGTGAGATGCTCAAGCTCCTCTTTGTTATGAATGAGTAAGTCCCTGATAGCATTGCAACCTCACAGTATTTCCTGATATTTTTGTACTCCCAAACCATCTGGGAGGAGGATACACCTGGTCCAGCTGTTGCTGGATGCAGGTGGCCCAGCACCACAGTGTAACACTATGGTATTTGCATGTTTTTTTTCTTATCTCTCTGTGAGAATTTCATTGCTTTCTACAGTTTCCTCCTTAAGTCATGAATGATTGAGAGTTAAAGGAACATGGCCTGGAGCCACAGTCCCGTGTGTTGGACAAGCAGGAGAACCCTTCTCTTTTGGAAAGATGCAGGACATTCACAACCCTGCTACTCATGGTTGTGGGAATATTGACTTGGACCCCAAATGAGGCTTGTCACCTTGTACTAAGACTCACAGGCACCAAAAATTCCAGATGAACTTCTGGAAAAAAACATCTGAAATTGAGAGTGGTGGCAGGGGAATTACATCAGTGACTGAAATGCTGGTGTGGTGTCATCAAACTTGAGCCAAAACTGAAACACATATGTGATCAAAACAGATAACCAAAACTGAATTTGGAGACATTTATCAAAAATACTAGTTTTCAGAGAACAGTGCTGAAGGGATGGACAGCACCAAGAGGCACTGGTGGTTGCTCCAGTATTTGGAGAGGGTGAGTGTTGTAATTGGCTGACCGGGTCATTCCCTGAGAGATTGCACTTTTTACTCCATATCTTCCCTGGCCCCATTGTATATATAGAAAGGAAGGAATGGAATTTGAATTTCAAAACTCGTAGATGTATCTTCTGATCTCTAAACTAAACATTTAGACTGTGGTCTGTAAATTGCTTTGAAATGTGTGTACCATTACTCAGCTCTGGCAGCATGGAGACAACGGGCAACACCGTGCACTGAGCACTCCTGCAAAGGAAGCTCCTGCTCATCAGCTGGCGGTGGCCAGACAGGCTCCTTCTTTCTAATTTGCATCATGACAACTTTCTGTAGGAAGTCAGTCAGCACTTGGACCTGAAATCTTGGCTCAAAAGAGCTAGGATGTGCCTTACCTGTTTGAGGGGGTGATGTCCAGGTCCCAAGTAGTTACCATATAATGATAGGGCAGAATTGGACACGTTTCTTTTGAAAGTATGAAATATTCATATAAAATTTGGCTTTTGTCTGGCTACTTACTGAATAGAGTTGTAACTGGAGAATGAAATGAGGCCTCCAAAGGCCAGGGAGAAAGAGTAAAACACTTGAGCACCTGCATCCAGCCACGTCACTGGGTTAGCCAGCTCAGTAACCTGAAGGCATCAGACACAGCTTTAGGCATACACAACATTGCTAGGTAGGCTGAATTTAAAATGACAATTAAAACAAGAACTTTAACCCTGTAGAACTCACCATTTTTGAAGAATGATAACAAATAGGTCAATACTTTTGTCAAACTTTTTTTTTTTTTTTTTTTAAAAAAAAAGAAAACCTGTGTATAGGTCTTCTACAAGTATTTTGAAAATTGATAAACAAATTATTTTCCATAGCTGACATCTGCCATGCCTGTTTCCAGAAAAGGTGTTTATTATTTAGCACTATATTATTTAGCACTAAGAATGTGTGTGCAAAGGTCTTCTCATGGAACACAAAACTCCTTTTGATTTTTTTGATAACTGCTGTATACTTAAGCCATTCTCTTCAGTCTTTTGTCCATACTGTTTAGATGAGTTCTACTCCCAATTGGACAATTTGTTCTTTAAAGTTAGGATTGTCATTAGCTAGAACACAGGAAAAGAAAGCAATCCCACTTATGGCATCCCCATTGCATTGCTCTGTGATGATGTTTCCATTTTTTAAAACAGATTTTGATGGGAAGTGGGAAGAGAGAGAGAGAGAGAGAGAATGTGTGTGTGTGCATGTACACCTCACGTCCTATGCAAAAGATTGACCTCCCAGAAACAACATTTTAAAGGTATTTGAGGGAAAGAAAAGCACAGAGAGGACTAACTTTCAATCAGTTGTTAATTACAGAGAGAACTGCATCGTGTTTCACTAAGGGACGAACTTGCAGTGACTTACATTAGGGGTGAAGAGATACACAATTCCACTGGTTGATCCTTTCAGTGTCAGACCCCGGATTAGGAAAATGGTGAGCACAAGGTATGGAAGAGTTGATGTTATGTACACAGCCTGCACAAGAAGCATGTATGTAAAACACTTAAAATAGAACACTTGAATTAAAATAGCACTGCAGGGATTAAAAGTGTGGAATAAACAATACTCTGACTAACAATGATTGCAAGTTTCAAGCACATCACAACGTTCTGCAGAAAACTATGTTAAAGAGAAGCAGTATGTGCAGTACATTTTGATAAGAGAAATTTTTGTAGTTATAGTGCTCTATTTAAGACAAGTTGTCATTGCTGAAATTCAACTCGGATCACTCAGAAGTAGCATAAAAAACGATCTATACCCTGAGATCAGGTTGAAGCTGCTGATGTAAGGATGGACTCTTAGGGCTTCGCTGGGCAGCAGAACATTTGCCACTCTTTTAGAAAGATAATATTAAGGACTAGCAGAAACTCAAATAAGTCTGTACATGTACATTCTGAAGAGAGTGGCCATAGCAAAAAGACAGAGTCCTTCCATCCTGCATTAAAGGTTAATATTAATGTTAAGGTGGTAATAAAGAATGTTGTACAAGGACCTATCAGGAGATGGAAGCGAAATTGATCACAAAAATCTCCACACAAATCAAATCAACTTTCATTTCATTCAGCTCCCTTCTTCAAAATGCAGCCTCAGTGATGACATATGAAGTTTTACTCAATAAATAGGCAGTTGCTACAGTATAATTAAGTCTGTATGAATAGGGAATCACAACAGTATAATTAATATCATCTAATAAAAAACCAAAATAGAGTACCTTTCCTGTTGTTTCGATGCCTCTGATTGTGCACACATACAATACTCCCCATGCACATGTTAAACATAAAAAAAGCCACCACTGTATAGTGCCTGAATCCTCAATGGAAGTGGAGGTGTTTAATGTTTCTCTGTAGAAGAAATAATCTACAGGAGAGCTCTTGGCACATTCTTCTATGTAATCTGTAACCACAAAATTGTTTTCATTCTGTGTGTCTTTTATTTACTTGAAAAAAAGGAAGTCAAATAATAAACACCAATTGTTCTAAATTATACCACCTAATGCCAATGAATCTGTTGCAAATATTGGGTTCTTAGAGGCTGGCTTAAGTAAAAACAAAGATTTAAAAGATAATTTTCTTAGCAGGGATTTTAATACAGGTGCTACCTTTTCTATTGTTTCAACCATGCAGCTAAAATCTTTGAAACTCAGCCAAAGACCGTTCTATATTTATATTTTTTCTTTTGTCCCACAAAAATGTGAAGTTAGAAGCTTCTTGTGTAAAGAAAGCATAGAGAGCATTTCTGAGCATAAATCTGTGTATTGCATGGAATATTTTTTTTTTGTTGGTAGAAGAAAAGCAGTTAGGGAGATATTTTTCAACAATTATACACTTCCTATCTCTTCTTAAAGAAAACCCAAAGAACTCTGTGCCTTCCACATGCACCCTGCTCACTCTTGTCTGGTGGAGCGTGGGCATCTGCCTGCAGCTTCTTGCAGCTGGCAGCTCTTACCCTCCCACATCTCCTTCAGATCAGCAGTGATTTGTCTTTCTGTTTTGTGGGGCATTGTTCAAGGTCTTGTCAGCTCGGGCTGGATTCTCAGCTCCGTGAAATTTGCTGACCTGTGCAGTACTCTGCCCTGGCCTGCCCCTCTGTGAGGCTTTTTATACTTACTCTGGGAGGGGAGGAGAAGAGCAAAGCTCTCCAAAGAACTGTTCACTGACCCAGCAGAAAAACCTGCTTCGTACAGTTTAATGCAGGGCTGACTACAGAAAACAAAGCTGCTGTCACCAAGCAGTCTCCATGGAGCTACAGACTGCTGTCATATTGAGAGATACAGGTGTGTCATATGGATCACACATCTCTTTTTTTATTATTATTTTTTTCCTTTTCCATATGCTAACAGAGGGCTGTTGGGGAAGAGATGGATGAAACACATTGTCTAAATTTGGAAAGTGTTAATGTATATGGTAGACTTGCACTTTGTGATTATTCTGTATGGGACTACATCTGTCACAATCAGCTCTGAAGTTTCATATAAACAGCCAAAGTTTGGCTCAAAGATTAAGCACTGATCTCTTTCTACAGAACGTGAATTTTTACAAAACAAGTATTAAAATAGCACAATGTTCCTGACAAGACTGTCACGCCTTACTGTTGTTTTACAGAAAGAGGCTCACTGCCTGGGCTAATTGCTAGAAACAGAAAAATGTGCTTCACAACAAAATACAATATTTCATAAAATATACCTGTTCTGTTCTCATTGAGGGGACAGCTACTCCAGGGCAGGGGCTCTTGGAAGGAGTTGAAGAAATACCACATCACCCAGGCAATAATAGTATTGTAATATAAACCCACCAGGAAGGATACAAACATTGCTGCTATGCCTGAAAAAAAATAAAATCAGAAAGCAATGTAAATTTCCATACTTTAGACTTCAAAACATATCAAAATATAAGGTATGAACCTCAACCTTTCCTCACTCTCCTCTTCCCCCTAATTTCATGGTTTATAGTCTTTTCCTTCTCCTGTCTTTATTTTAGATGTAAGTTTAATCACTGAATTCATTATCTAAAGGTTGGACAGGTGAGTCCTACATAGTCATACAGCCTAAAACTAGTCTGGGACTGAGGCTATCACCCACTCAGGAGCCAACATTATGGGTGAACTAACTCCATACACACACTACATAATCCTGTTCACCATCTCACCTGCTGACATCTAGGGAATTTGGGATGTTTGGTGTATGTGAAGCTCAACTGACTTGGGCTTTTGCCCAAATGAGTCACAGGTTGTTTTCCCCTTCCACGATGTCACTGTAGAGGTCAGCAGTTGTATGTGGCTAGTCTTTATTTTATAGGATGGATAGCTGCCAGGAGGCACAGTCTATAAAAAGGTGCAGGATTCAAGCTGGTACCTCCCCTTTCTCACTTGCTCTCCAGTAATCAACCTCTGGTGACTTCTCTAGTATCCGTAAATGCTAATGATTAGCTCCTGAGGACTCTTATACATTCTGAAGAAGTTTGAAAAATTCCAGATGCAATGAACAAATATCTTTTGTAACTGATTTACAGATGCAGTGGATGACAACAACAGTCCTAACTGGCTGTGTTCCTTCCCTTTCAAGTGTATGGTAATCACAGGATCACAGAAGAGCTGAGGTGGGGAAGTAGAGGTCATCTTGTGCAATCCCCTGCTCAAGCAGGGTCAACTACAGCCAGTTGTCCAGGACCATGCCAAGGCAGATTTTTAATATCTCTAAGGATAGAGATTCCACAACCTCTCTGGGCAATCTGTGCCAGTACTTGGTCACTCTCCTAGTCTTCTCCTAGTCTTTCCTGCTGTTAAGGTGGCACCTCCTGTGTTGCCTGTGTAATGAGGTATCTGTGGAGTTTTTAACGCAATGTTTTAGCATGCTGCTTTTACGACATTGTCAAACAGAGTGTTTGAATACTCAGAAGTCTAATACAGATAGGAAGAAGTCTTTTCTGTGAAATAAGGTCTCCATGGCTTTTAGTGTGGTACCTCTCTCATATGTAAGAAAGTAACATTACACAGAGCTGGAGTCTGGTAGACCAGCTTAGAGAAAGATTCAACTATTATTTATTCACAGAAACAGTCAGAACAGCCAGTTTCAATAAGGAGGATATATTTGAAGCTCTACATTTGTCTTAAATTAAAGTTTTAACGGGATATATAGTACCTGAAAATGTAGACACAAAGCTGTCATAGTGCCTTACCATGATTAGCACAACCTATCAACACAGAGTTAGTGAGAAGGGAAAAGGAATAGATCTTGGAATTTCTCATGGCACACCAGAATAAAATCCTCAAGCTCTGCTCTTAAGATTATCAGTTCAGAGAGTTGTGCTTTCTCAGGTGGCTTTTTGTATCCTCTTTGGACTTACCGACCCCTTTCAGGGTAGGGTGGATAGAACTCCAAACACCCACGCTGCCTTTCCTCAGCCTTTGACCAATGGCAAACTCAAGATGAAGCAGAGGGATACCCTCCAAGACTAGCAAAATCAGGAAAGGGATCATGAAGGCTCCTGAAATGGATAAGAAAAAAAAAAAAAAAGTTTCCTATCAGTGAAGCACTACAGTAAAGCACAAACTTCAGTTCTGAAGGCTTCTGAAACAGTAAGCAAACTGTAAGCAGACTTATGGAAACTCTTCTCCAGTTTCTGAGCAATACTTTTGCTTGATTTCCAATGCAGGGGACTTCATTAAATATGTGGTCTCAGGTAGGAATTCTTATTCTTCCTAAGTGGCAAACATAAACACAAATTATAGACTCCCCAGGTTAAACTTTGAAGGAGCCACCTTTGGATTGCAAGTGGAAGAAAGGAAGTTACTTTCCTGGAGTGACTTCCTTTTATTTTTTTTCCCCTGCAAAAAATTATGGTTTTATAATGATGAATCATGCCAGTTATATGAAGTAGATGAATGAACTAAAAAAGATGCCTCAAAAGATTAGGCAGCAATCTGGGGCTGTCTACATAAAATAACCAATAACTTCTTGCCAACTGTGCTCAACAGCTTTTATATTTTAGTAGAAGATGTCTGAAGTTCAGGGTTCGAACCCTGTTGATTATGACAATGCTGGTTAGTATAGGAAGAGTTTCTAAAATTAATTTTTACTGAATAAAGTGTACCTCTGACATGGAAATAACATATGACACTACCATGGAGTATCAAAGTGCATAGTCAAATGCTTGAAAATTGCTACTTACTAGAATTACTGTTACCTGTCATTACAGAAAGTCTTTAAATTAACTTCTTATATCATAAGCAGTAAAAAACCTCAGTGCATGAAAAAAATAATGCAAAACAATATGTGAACAGTTCAGGTTTGGGTATTTGCTGACTGTTTCCTCATGTATGAAATGAAAAGCAGATAACAGTGAAAGGAAATTTGAAGAATGGAGACTACAGTTTTGAATTCAAGGCAGTTGGATGCTTTTCAGAAGAGCTGCACTGCATGCTTTGCTACATGAGGTAGCTTCTTGACATTGTTGACACCAGTTTTGGAAATTATCATTACTGGAAATTCATCATTTTCTGTGGACTTCAATGAAGTCTGCTGAAAACAATATTGTTGTATTGAGTGGCCACTATTCTAATGAAATTGCTTTCCACTCCTATGGAATTCAGGTAGTGCTAGTTACACGCCTGTCTTTCATAGGCTTTTTAAAGATGTACTAATCAAAATCCATAGCTTTGAATACAGAAAATGCCAATCAAAATGCTGAGCACTTTCAAAATGCACATGCCACTCATCAAGTTGAACGATCTGATGCACCAGCAGATATATTTTTTCTTAAAGCTGGTTTCCAAAGGTAACTATATAGACATGATACTCTCAGACTTCAGTAAAACATGACATTTAGTAACACAAAAAGGTCTTAGTAAAAATGTAACAGTTTTCAAAACCACTGTAGCTCATCTTGTATGCATGAAAAACTACCACTCTAACAACAGAGACTTGTTATTAATTGTTATTTGTAAGAAGTTTGCTAAACTTCCAACTCTGCTGACTCTTCCCTCCTTTTTTTCTATGTCAGTCTGTCACTTTGGGAAATGGATAATATGGATGTCATCAACAAAGAGGACAGTATCTCATTTGTTTTCTTCCCCACTTCTCACATCTCAGCTATATTCCTTTTTCCAGAGACGGTGTAGTCCTTGAAAGAACAAAAGCCTGGCAATAGTGAGGAGCAGCTACCTGTTAGACCAAGGAGCCTCAAGCTGGTGCTCTCTTACCTTGGAGAAAAGTAGCTATTTTGTAAAGCCAGAAAGGAATGGAGGAATGGTGATCCTAGTTTTGAGGAAACTGAACTCCTCTAGTTGTAAATTCAAACCTTAGTACTATGATCTTACCTTAGTTATCATTACAAATGGCATCAATGCTACAGCAATCGCTTCCTAGCCTGTTTCTTTCTGAATATGTATTTTCATGTCACAAACACATGAAACATATAGGACATATTTCAGTTTTAGAGGGAGTAGGATCATTTTCAAAGTAAGGTTCTTCCCCTCTGTTTTCCCACCACTCCAGGGACTTCTACAAAATTACTGTCAGCAGGAGCTGCTGATGTCAGATGTAACCAGGCCGCTCTCTTTCCATGCCTTGTTGACTGGCTGCTGAAAGGCAACTGTCCCAGACATGGTGATGTACTCTTCAGCTGCCTGTGCCCTGGCGTCACTGGTGATGCAAAACTCTTACCCAATGCTGGCAGAGGTTCTGGGTTTCACTGAAATTGTGTCAGATTCCACAACTTCAAGGATCTGACTCCTTCTGTCCTTTCAGACTGTTTGTGGCATTTCTAAAGGTTTGTTCCATTTTGTCTGTATGGAGTTGCTTAGTTGTGCTGGAACATGCACTGCCATGCACATAAGGGCCCCTCTGCATCTGGTTAGACATGCAGTGCATGAAAATTTGAATTCAAAGAGTTTGTTCTCTGCTAATATCCCACCCTATTTCTGTAAATAACAATTCTCTCAACTGTTTTGTTCTTCCTTTCATAGAAAACAGGATTGTTGCAGCGTATGTGCTGAGTGCCCCCTCACTGTCGAGATCTATCCCCCTACATCCCAATGGATTCCTTCCTACATGGGAGAGTCAGTGAAACAACCTCCACGCACAGAGCCTCTGGCCTTTCACCCCAGCCAAGTTACTTATCAATGAATGGAGCTGCAAATAGAAATACATTGTGTGTTCCAACCACATGTAAGGCCATGAGCACTGTATCAACCTCATGGGATTTCCTGAGGTCTCAAGGTACTTTCAGAGGTACCTTTGTTAAGATGTCATAAAAGAAGTCTTTAAGCATGACACATCTTTTATAGAGCAGTCAGATAAAGGGATTCCATGACCTTCCTTGCATAGCCACAGAAAGGGGAAAGGCTGCCCTTTGTGGAGCCATGAAAAGGTGTGCTGTCCAGCTGGATGCTCACAGCTCCTCAGCTTCTTCGCTATGTGTGGAATCACCACAACATAAATTTCAGATTTTGGATGGACATGGATGAAGAAGGTGGGTCTCTGTTGACCCCTGTTGTTACCACAGGCACACCACGTGTACACCGATTCTGTGCAGTGCAGAATACACAGCCTTACACAAACAGATGCAACTAAGACTTTTCTAGCTTGAACGGCTAACCATGTACAGTAGGGTAGCTCTGATGAGTTAAAAATGCAAAGTGTGCCATGTCAGAACTGGACAAATAGGTAAAACCACCTATATTTAGCTGTAGAAATATTCATATATTTCCAAGAGAAGTGAGACGGCAGTTCTCAATCATGTACACTGCTCTTTTCTCTTTCTTGGGTTCTTCTCTTTCCAGGGTTCAATTCTAACAGCCAGCTCAGAGACCCAACTCTGCTGCATTTTCCATTTCTCTCAATTTCCCCCCAACCTTTCAGAAAGAAGCTATAATGGAAAAATAAGTGATAATGGCTCTACAAGGCTGCTAGACGGGACATAAAGAAAACCCCAATGCTTTTTAAGCTGTCATACTTTTATGAACCTAACAAATAAACTAATGATCTGAAAGTAACTGCTGCATGGATGTATATAAACAATGAGTAATCCTGCAGTCTGAAAGCCTCACAGCTGAGATACCAGATTCTCATCTTGTTGCAGTACTGTATTTCAGGACACACAATATTTGGTTTGAACATCTGTGTAGCTATTACTCTCTCTTTAATCTAAGTTTCTGATGTGAAATTGAAAAAAAATTATTATTGCTTTCACATAATTCCTCATAAAGGGAAGAGAGATGAGCTTCAGACAGAGAGGTTTTTTTCTATGCTATCATATTCTTAGACCTCAGCTGTAGTGAGGGCCACCAGTACCAGCGAGGAACTGCTGATGTCATTATTGTCACTTTGCTCAGCGTAGCATGCACAGAGATGTAGAAGTTGTCCCTCACACAGTGGCAAGGTTTACTGCAGGCATAAGCAAGCTGTAGACTTAATGACTTTTTATCAATGGTTTAAACATTAAATATACATCCTCTTTTTTGCAATACTCATCAAGGATGAAACAAAAATGTTTAACAGTTGATTAAATGACATGATGCTCAATAAAGATTAAATGAAACCTATGTGTAATGTCAGAGATAGCTATCAAATGAGAGGAAATTTCAATCTCATTAAGCTGGTGAAAGCACACTGAGGCAAACACTGGAGCTTTTACATTGTGTATATATTGAAATCCAGTTTGCCTGTGGTAATGATGGACTTTACAACTTCTAAGACATGACAAGGATAAAATGTTCTTTACTAAATTTTAGTAAAGAAGGAAGTAAACCGAACACTAACAAAACTAAGTAAATTATATAATTATTCTTTTTGTATATGTGGGTATCGCAGTGTTAAAGCACTATCCTAGTGTTGTGTTTAGGAAGAAACAGCCCCCAAATAATTCTAAATTTAAGTTCAAGTATCTGAAAATAAGAATTATCTATAAACTCAGTGTTCTGAAGTACCTTCACTACAGTCAATTTACAGTGAAAAAACCCACCTTCCTTCAAGTCCAAGTACTACAAGAGTAAATTTTATACTTCACAAAGGTCTGTTTATGTTTCATGAGGGATATGAAATGTGCAAACACTGATTCACAAAGTAGATGGACATCCAGCCTCATTTGAGAATGTTCTTGCTTAAATACTATCTATATCCTTGCTACCAGACCTCAGCCATGCTAAATGTCTCCAAATGTCTGTATAACTCATATTTCAAAAAGAAAGAAGTTAAGATAGCAAAACAAACCCTCAGATATTAGAAACCACTTTCATGAGGTAGTCTACACAACCTTGATTCTGCATGCACGTTATGAGGCAACCTCTAATTATGTGACCACCTAGGACTTATTCTCATCCCCTGCAGATACTTACTATGTGGCAAATAGTTGTAATTTTTTTTTTAATCTCTTAATGCACAGCCATAATCCACAACCATATCCAAAGTGAGCTTTAGGACTCTAAAGTAACCATGCCATGGACAGACTGAGGAACAGCATAATCCCCATCTCCATCTGTACCCAGGACTCAGTGAAGCGATATCTTGAAGACATGAAGTGTGAAGGCAGACACCATCCAGGGTAAAGGTTCTGGACAGACCAGGGGAAAACAGCTTCCTCAGTGCACTCATGAGCATGGTGGATGCTTTGTGTTAGTTAACTTGGAAGCAGGTGCATAACATTGCAGTTTTCTCCCACTCTGTTACAGAGGCACATCTGTGTTCCCTGAGTGGGCCACACAAATTCAAGGATGAATAAATCATCTTGGCCACCATGCTGAGTGTCATAGGCTAAGGAAAAATGTCCAAAATATCTAGTAAATAGATATTTCTAACCGGAGGTAGCTGAAGCCAGACCTAAGAGCATCTGTGCAAACAAAGCTGATGTGGAATGCTGCATCTATTGAGCATTCCCTGTGCTGTGAACATGCTGAATGGGAATTAGAGGGGCAGAAGCCAGAAAATCTCAGGCAAAAAAATGTATCAACACCAAAATATCTTCAGAAATAAGAACTTCAAGACCTGTTTTTACAATATGGATAGTCACATGTTCAAATTCAAAATCTTCCATCCAAAGAACAGCAGAAGTCATTTCTTTTTCTGCCTGAAGGGAAAAGTTAGAGACCAGGAACTGCAATGAGAGGATGGCAGTGGTAGCAGGAGTTGGATTTTGACCCACAAGAAAAGGCTGAGGTGCACTTCACAGCAAGAAAGGAGGAGGGATGGCACAAGACCTCTCCACCCTCACATGTGATGAAGTTAAGGAGTTCTGTCTAGGAGGCCACAGCAAGGCATTGCTGTTCACTCTTCTGTATTGGTATGAGTCCCAGCATTTGCAGAAGAATTGATAGAGAAAGTAGGAAGTCTGGCTACAGGGACACATTATCTGTACCATAGCTCTAAGCCCATAGCAAGCTGCATCATTTCTTTGCTATGTGATGCCTTTCAACTTCCACCTAAAACTTGAGAGAGTCACAGGGAAGCAAGAAGCCAGGACTAACTGTTGTTAGTGGTCCTGAGCAAGGACAAGACACAGGATTATGAGAAAGAAAAATAATTGGTGCCAAAGGATAAATTAAAATACAGTACTGATAGACACACACAAGTAATTCATAAATCTTCAATTATATAAGTCAGAAAAATCAGCCCTGAGAAACAGGGCATGTCCACTTTCTGTGACTAAGCAGAAGAACCTCAAAAGCCAAAGAATACCATGAATTTTGGAGATACCCATCCCCTTTTTCAAATTAAAATTGTCACATATGGAAAGGGGGTAGTGGTTTTTTTGTGTATGCGTGTCTTCTAGCTTTTTGTTACAACAGTTGGCTGTGCTACAAATGGCCTTCAGTAAATGTAAATGACCTTCCCTGTAAACTCTAAACACTAGCTCAAGTCAGGAGCCCATGCTAACATCCATGTTAACAGACCATGTCAGAAAAACCTTAATATTAAAAGCATCTCTTCTTGCAACTGAGTCATCTATTGTTAAAAGTCCCTGAGTTTGTACCAGCAGCTCCTCACAGAGCCCTCCCTGGTCCCTACTCTAACTAGGAAAAGCAATTTCTAATCATATCACTGGGTATATTTAATGAGAATTACTTTGAAACCAAGTTCTTTAAGCAAAAAATTTTCTTTCATGATCAGACATCACAAAGGAACAAACACTTTTTATACAAATCTCAGAGTAAAATGCAGCTAAGAAGTGGATAGTAGGCAGAAAAGACTGTCAGAAAATGAGAAGTTTATGCTGTCATATAATATTGAGTCAATGGTTCAGCTCAAGATCATCTTTGAAAACAAACAGTAAAAGAACAAATCAAAAATTTTAGTGTGTTCATTCAGTCCTAACCTGAACCCTATGGACTCACAGCAACTTATATGGTAAATAGCATATATTTTAAATTACTTAATAACAGCAATTGCTAAAAACATATTCTTAACATTAACTACTTTCACACCATTACTCCCATCATTAATTACACACACACTGACCCTACAGCCGATACACAGACCAGTACAAAACCAATGAAAACCCTATCATGAAAAGATTATTTTGGATTGTGAACAGAATTACCCTTCCAAGTAGTTTATTAATATTTTAAAATATACATTTTATATATATATGCATGTATGTAAAGTAACAGTTTTAGACTGAGAAAATATATGATGTATATGACAGTGCAAGACTGATTTGATCAATCCTGTGTCCTGAAATAAAAGCAGTCCCTTCCTTTTTTTCCATCACTAACATGACTTCAGAGGGTGTTCATAACCTGTGAAATAACCTCCTCCATTAGACAGTCTTCTAGACATGAACATCACACGTCTTACAGGAACTGACCAGTTCTAAACATATTTCATTTTTTGTTTCTCAAAGAGAGATTCAATACAGTTTATAGCCAAAGTTATTTAAGATATGCTAAAGACATACCTCCTCCATGGCTCTGACAGAGATAGGGAAACCGCCACACATTTCCTAAGCCCACACAAAACCCTACACACGTCAGCATATACTGAGCCTTGTTGTCCCATTTTGGTCTGGAGTCTGCCTCTTCTTTCTCAAGGACCTCCAGTTGTGCATGGGAAGGTATCCTGTCATCCAGGCCAGGATTGGGCAGCTGTAGCTTCACCATATTTTAAATCTCTGACTGGAAACACTGTCCCGGTGAGGAGGTGATGAAACAGGCAGCTAGTTAGAAATCTGTGCAAAAAGAGAACATCTGTTTGCTGTCTTCAGCTATATATAGTGAACCTTTGGCACTAAACTTGGAAGTGCAGGCCTGTGGTAAAAAGAAGCGTCAGCAAATCATTCAATTGACCAAGTCAGCTCTGACACTTATTAATGCTTTATCTGTCAAGGTTTTATGAACAGTCCGTTCATCTGGTGGAAGGCATTGATTTCAGCTAATGTAATTCAGCACATAATTTGGCTATAAACCGTAATCGCCTATAAGGTCATGAAACACCCCTTGCCACTTCCCTGTTTAAACTCACTAAAATACATATATAGCCCTAGCAAATACGGAGTAAAAAGATTCCACTGGCCTCCAGCTGAAAATAGAGGCTTCGTGCTCTTTTTTCTCAGGAAAACAAACTGCTTGTCAATCACCATCACATTCAGTTTCCTATAATGTATGCTTACAAAACTGTATGTTTTGTGATAATTACCAAAGCAAGTTCTTCCTTCTCTTCAGCAGGTCTTACTCTACTAGATGCTCTGACAAAAAGAGATGCAGAGTGAAAGGGTTTATAAAATCTGACCTTTAAAATCATAAGCATAATCTGCTTACCCTAATGCCTCTAATCACTATAGAACAAGGTCTGAAGAGCATAACAACTTGTAAAAGGGCTTGAAATCAAAGGTCCCTACAGTGGTCAAAAATAAAAACATGATGCTGGTTAACAAATATCACAGATATTACTCACATCCTCATTCTTTCAGTACCATCATAACAAGCCTGTTTAGTTTGTTCCTCAGCAGTATCAAAAGGTAAATACTTCCCACTGAAACCTATATATAAAATGTAACACAGTATATGTCGTAAGAAAGAATTTTGCCAGCTAAGTGCTACAGGCTCTTTGCATACAATGATACAGAGTGATCAAAACTAAGAACTAGAAGGGAGCCTGTAAGTCCAGCCCCTGCCGCAGAAGGCGAACACATCACAGCAGCCCTTTGCAACCTTACTGTATTGATTTCATTTGTTTCTTTGCTTATTTACTCCTTTCTAAAAGGCTGGTCTAGAATTTCAGTCCTGTTATGCCCCCAAAAGGCTGTTTGTTATATTTTGAATAGAAAAATTACAAAAAATGTCTTAATCTTTGACATGAACAGCAATATAGAGCAGCCTAGATGGATTTTCCCTGTGCCCTGCAATCAAGTATTAATATTTCACTAAACTGACTTCTCAGTCAATCAGCCCAGTGATAGCTGTTGCCTTTTTCATGACCCTGTCAGTTCTGTGGGTGCCCTGTCTCCTGATTAACCACTGGGTCAACACCTTTTTTCTCCTTTGGCAGTTGCAGCTCAGGATTTCCTAGCTTGCAGCAGAACTCCTTTTTCTACATTGCCAAAAACACATTTTAAATTTTACCCGGTTTCTGCTACTCCCGTACGTTGAGCTACCAGTTCTTCCTGAATTATACATTTTCAGCATTTACAATACTTCTGAAACTGTTGTGGTGAGCAGAGCACACCCTAGGCAGGGATCGGCGTGCGGAAGATCTGGCGATGTAACGGAAAGCTCAGACCGCCCACGAGGGGCCTTGTGGGTGTGGCTTGTGGGAGATAAGCAATTGCAGCGCCATTTGCAGCATCCTTCACATTGAAGCCAGTGTCTGTGATGGTACCCAACGGCAGAGGTTGGGTGGCAGCTATCCCGGGGATCGGGTGTTGGTAACGACATGAAACGGTATCATGAGGATTTAACTGACATGATACTGTCTTTAGTTATTAGTGGAAGGATGACAAAAGACTGGTCCTGAACTAATTGAGGAACTGTATTAGTAACTTCCCCCTGAAACACTATTTCTGCTTTTCAGGACAACTTACCACCATCATGAGATCTTTACCTAGTTCCTTGTTCACATTATATCCCCTGTTTAGCTCAGCTAATATCTCCTGTTGTGGTCAAGTGGCAACAGGTCTACTGAAGTCCAAAAAGACTACATTTACTTGTCTAGAAAAATCAGTTTTAACTTATAAGCTGCAATAGAGAACTTTCAAATTTCACCTCTTCAAATTCCAATTTCACAGAAAGTGTGCAAGAAACTGTATGGTCCATCCAGCAGCTCACAACTCATCTGGGTTATTCTGCTTCCTGAATCATTGGAAGATAATCTTAGTATTCATGCTGCAGGGAATATGAGGCAGTAATAAAAAGCAGAGAGAAGACAAATAGGAAATGCCAAAATCCTCACCATAATGTTTCTTACATTCTTTGACTTGTAGGCTTTAGTTCTAAATCTTTGCAAGGTCCTCTGTAGAACCTCTTTGGATAACAGAATCAGATCATGGCTGCATGCTGTCCACACAACATATTTTACAGCTACAGTCTAATGGTTCTTTGTAATCAGAAATCTTTGACAATCAAGATTCTGTACAGAAATTATTAAACAAAAAAGTAACATGTTTCTCTTGAAGCATAGTGCAAGTGGACATGGAAGGAAGGAATGTAGCTTCCTTTGGATATCAAATTATATGGGGACAAATTGAGATAAAATAAATTCACACTTGTGTTAGGATGACCTGAAAATTTCTCTCCGTGAAGTTTCATATGCAAGCAGTTTCCATCAGGATCCAAAAATACGTTCTACACTGCTTTCTGCTGTATACATCCAAAATGTCTTTCCAGATGAGTTTATCTTACCTTGGTAATGCCAGGTTCCAAGGGTTGTTAGTGATCTGTCAGTTGTTAAACATTTGCAGAAGCAAATATGATTGTATAGCATCTAGCTCAAATTCCTTCATCAGTGTAATTGCATGGCTAATAATCTTGGAAGGCATAGAAGCATTTTCTGAAGCTTCTCTGGTAGCAATGACAGCAGCTTGAACATGACCTGCAGTTGCTCAGATAGGTTGTCTATATTGCCACCCTGTGGATCCAAATTAAAAAGCTGGGGCTGCTCTGTGGGAGTCACAGTCACTTGCTTATTCGAGAGAGACCTTTCCTTTGGTCTAAGGTAAGCTACTTCAAGTAACACAAGGCTCAGGTTGATATTAGTTAGATATGTAGTAGGATTAATCCTATCAGGATTAACCACATTATTTTCTGAATTCTTTTAGTACTATAGCAGATACTGGTGTGTAATCTCTTACTCTAGTGATTCTATAGGAATATCTCACCAACTTTAATCATATTTTCATTTCAGTCATCTTCTACTTCATAGTCGAAGCAACGTATACAGCAATCGATTGCAACTGCTCTTGGTTGTGTGATAAGCCTAAAACAGGAAAATATGGAAATGTATATTATAGTGCTAATTATACAACCGAATTCCTAAAGCACAGTATTCTCATTGGGAAGCATAAAGTGGTAAAGATGTAATGAAAATGAAAAAGAAGAAGAAAATTCAGAGGTTAAGCAAAATAGTCTGTGATTGTCTGTCCCTGGCAAAATCTGCTTGGATGATCTATTAATATATGTGGAGAAAACACTAAATCCTTTTGTGAGCTGCCAATGGGTAAAATAAGCTATGTCAGGATAGAGCACTGAACCCCAGGTTCAGGAGGAAACTCAAAATTCACAGCCTAGGGGACACTAATGATCATATTAGAAGAGGAGATACACGGGCAAAATGTTTCAGAGTTGCTTAGCTTTAACGCTAATAATCAACAGCAGGTGGTTATGGAGTTTACCTTGTCAAGAGCTGTTCTGCAGATCTTTAACTTGATCTAAGTTTTATGCTCTGTTGTTCTCAAACTGTACCTGATAAGTAACCAAAAGACACATCTCCTCAGCAGTGATTTGATTTCCCATGTGTGTGCTTCAAGGCTGCTGCCATCAGCTCAGAGCAGTTCGAGCAGCCATACCTTGAAGGCTTTGAAGAAGTCCCACAAGCTTTGGAGGCTAAATCTCCAAACAGTTTACATGTGATTGCAAACTTTTCCAGATGGGAAAGAAGTCCTTTTGTGCCAGCAAGTACTGCATAGAAGAAACAGGACAGCACAGAGCTGTTGAATCTGTCTTGGGCTATTGGGAACAAAACAGAGGTAGGGTGTCATATACAATGACTTCCAGTAGCATCCCATTCTGGAGTGGTTTTACAATGTCACAGTTTCCTTCAGCAATCTGACATGCCTAGAAATTGCCAGTCCATGTTTATTGTGGAAGTAGCAGTGTCCTTAGCCACAGAAGAATTAAAGGTAACAAGCCATCGTATCTTTTGTAGTTCATCCAGAACTGAGCTGACACTGATGCCCATGTGGCACTTTTCTCCTTTTTATCTTCCAGAAATACACATGAACTTTATTTTTACATATACTGGTAGTTTACATACTACTTACTTCAGCTTTGTATATAAGTATTTCACTGAAGTAACATTAGCTTCAGCAGCATCATCCTTCTTTGTTTTGTTCTCCTTGCTAACATCAGGGAGGAAAGTGCGCTGTCCTTAATATTGTAGTGCATACATTCAGGAGATCCCCAAAATATTGCTTTAATCTTTGAAGAATACATTTCCTCTTTGGAATCACTTTAGGGGGAAATACAGGTAGGGTGCATAGGTGTAGAAATGCTTCTGTGGACAGCACCAAATTACCTGATCTCATGATGGCCAGTGTTGACCTATATTTCTTAGCCAGTGGAGTGCTATTGCTTGGATCTCTTATGGCAGGCAGCAGAACATGTTGACAGCTGTAGGTCGTTGCTTGCCATTTTCATCAAGCAATTAACGGTGTTCTTAAATCAAGGTTCTAGCTGTTTTCTTTTTCCTGTGCTGTAGAATACAAGGAGATGCTAGCAAGTTGCTAAACTACATCCACTGCCTGCCACCTCTGCACAGAATCTACCACAATACCCACTTTGGTGGAGGCAACCTCATTCTGTCTTGGTGACTGAACACTAAGGTTTTTTGCATCTTTCTTCACCCAGTTGTGTTTGGACCAGAGAGTTCTGACCGTGTAGCATCGGAGACACGCTCCAGAGGAGCTCACGGGAGCAGAAGGTGCGGTGGAGGCTGCTGGCTAGAAGAGCCATTAG